ATCATAAAGGTTCTGCTAAACCGAGTGTTTCTGTTACACGGAATGGAACTGTTACAGCTTGTGCAAAATGGAAACAAAGTTACACTAAAGGTGCACCAGCTTAAAATGATGTGCTTATTAGAGACACGGAGGCTACTACACGCATTAGATTAACTGTGACAGAAGGACCAAACAGCGAAGCTTTATTTCCACCAGAGAAATGCTTGTCGATAGTGTGGGACCATTTTGCGTACACCAAGAATGACCAGGGTGTCATTTAAATATTGCCGTAAAAAAATGCTGCTAAAAAGCAAACACATTAGGGATAATGCATGGCTCCTGTCGATAGTGTGGGACCATTTTGGGTACACCAAGAATGACCAGGGTGTCATTTAAATATTGCTGTAAAAAACTGCTGCTAAAGAGCGAATACATAAGGGATAGGCTAATGCACGGCTAGCTGTACATTGAACGATTTTAATGCACGACGTGAAGGCAAGAAAAACCTGACGCGAAGCTACGGCTCGTTAGCTCAGCATTCTGCCCGCTTCAAATCAGAAAGAGATGAAATAGTGCGGTAAGATCACATTTATTTGAATTATAATATTTAGCTACTTGAATTAATTATTAGAGAGAGAGAGAGAGAGAGAGAGAGAGTTTTTTTGCCTACCTGCATCTGTGCGTCTCTCCAGTAGTAGGGCGGTGTTCTCAAGAATTTTGTGTCCTCCTGAATGTATGTATACATGTGCAGCGCGATCTCCAATCTCACAAACCAAAATAATAGACATGATTTTCTCAGGCCACATGTAAAATCATATGAATTATTATAAAGATTATTAAAATGAATATGTATGTGTAGCAAACTTTGTAGGTCGGGAAGAAGGAGGCGGGAACCGGCGAACACTTAAACAAAACTTTAATCAAAGAGACTCGAGACCGGTGAGTGGCGCAGGTGTCGCGCATTAGCAATTACTCCACCGGCCTCGCTCCGTTCCCACGGCTCTCAGCCCCGCCCCTCTCGTCACAGTATGGATGACAGTTGACTTCAATAATATTTTAATAGTTTATTTCCATCATTAGTAACAGTTTCCCCTGTGGGATAAAGTAAATATATATTAATAATACTTCATTAACTTTATTTACTATCCCTGTTGTAGTATTATTCATAAGATTTTTTTTTCACCATGTTTCCAAATTCTCTACCCCAGGTCCAAAAGAAATGTAAAGAATGTACAAACTGAAAACATTAAATACTTTTGTGAAATCGACAATTCACGATTCAAAAATCCATGTTTTCAAGATCGATGCATTGCATTGTCAGGGTTTGTAATCGATGCATCGAGAAAATGAGTGAATCGTTACACCCCTAATTGAAAGCGCATCTCTCACTTATGGCGCTTTTCTACTGCGTGGTACGACTCAGCTCGGCACGGCTCAGTACGGTACGGCACGGCTCGGCTCGGTTTGCGTTTCCACTGCAGTTCAGTACCGCTTTAGAGTGGGCGGGATTATTCACATGTCGTTATAGTTGCACCGCCTCTATTGCCGCGACTCCTGAAAAACTTTTTCATTCCACGTTGCCCCATCAAGCTCTCGCTGGATCTGCTCCTCTGAGCCAGAGGAGTCTAAAATGTTGATCCAGGAAGTGGTATATGTCTGTGCAAGCCTTGGAGGTGTTGATGGAAGCGATTTACTGGATTTATGCTTTGATAATCATTGAAAGCGCATCTCTCACTTATGGCGCTTTTCTACTGCGTGGTACGACTCAGCTCGGCACGGCTCAGTACGGTACGGCACGGCTCGGCTCGGTTTGCGTTTCCACTGCAGTTCAGTACCGCTTTAGAGTGGGCGGGATTATTCACATGTCGTTATAGTT